CAATGTGGGTTTTATCAAAGAACGAATCAAAGAAAAAAATAAGATGGTATCTACATTAATCTGGAGACATGTCAGATTACTGTAGTTTGTTCAGTCAAACATTTTATGGCTTACTATTTAGCTATCTTACCATTACCGATGTGACATCGTATGTACATCATAAATTCCCAGTTTTTTTCTTGCTGTACATCGCAACCAAAAAAACTTAAAATTAACCAAATCATTACTGTAAACAGCTCCATGAATGTTCCTATCTCCGAGACTTCACACACACAAAAAATAACTCTTGCACGCCTTGCGTGCCTATGTTTTATCTCTGAAGTAGTGTTCCGCAGAAAGCCTTATTGTAAATTAGCAATTCCCTGGGGTCCTCCTCCTAGTAGGAGTTTTGCAGGCATGCACAGTAAGACCTGTTGTTTGACCACGAGGTTGCGAGTTGTCGGCCATGTTGAAAAATGTACACATTTATCTCCTTGGAAATAAAAATGTTGTATGTTGTAAAGACTGAACTTTTTTTGCTGACCTTCAAACCTGGGACATACGGAACAAGTAGGCTCATAACCCAGTTGTTTATGAGAAGCTTTCAAAAATGGTAACGGTGGTGCAATACATGGGTACATCTTTGTGAAATCATTTAACATGCATCAACTATGGACCGTGTGTTGCAGTAGCAAGGAAATGTAGATCTATGCCTCATTATTTAGAATTTGTTGACTACGGACTGTCGACCACAGTGACAGAGAAATGTAGATCTTTACACTGTTTTTTTAAATTTATCAACTACAGACCACCTCAGACCTCAAGCTGTAATGATAACTAGCTATTTTTCTTCTCAGTTTTTTTTTTCTTTGCCCCTTGTCGTCACTGTATTTCTTAATTGTGTAAGTCGAGTAACTGTATTTGTTAGTAAAGTAAGTCGTTTAGTTATTGTAATTTAAATAGTGTAAATAATTAGAGCAAAATAATGTAAATAGAGTTAGTGTTGTAAGTAAGCATTGGTTTCCCTTGTGTTATTGCAAATAAATAAATAAATAAATAAAAAATAAAAAAAAACCACAGACCACCAATTAGCAGAGAATCAAAATACTTACATTATACTTTCAAGTTAATTGACCACAGACCGCTAAAAAGCCTTAAAATGTAGGTCACTTTGTCGTCCAAAAACTGTCAAAATTTTGATTTGTGTGCATGCTCAAGCAAAAATGTCATAAAATGCGTTGCCCACAGAACAGGTCCCCATCTGTTTTGATCCAAAATTTTGTACACATGATGAGGTTTCCTCCCATCATCCCCAGAATGAGGAACATGTCTTGCACTGGTTAGGTAATGACTAAAGAGATTAAATTAACCTAAACATTTCTGTTTTCAGAAAACTTCCGTGCATTATGTACTGGTGAGAAAGGATTTGGTTTCAAGGGTAGTTCATTCCATCGTATCATCCCAAAGTTTATGTGCCAGGTAAAGTACCTAGATATGAGTGCTATATTGCCAGATTCGTAACAAAAGTAATGAGAAAGTATCGTAGGTACTCATAGATAAGCCGCACCCTGAGTTTGGCCATCTAAATTGCAGAAAAAACAGTTATTGAAAGAAATCAAAATTATTCACAACTGGAGTCTTGAGAAAGATTCCTTACATATACATTTCTTGATTTATTGAATGTAAACCTGTGTAAACTTGCTAACAATGAAGTTAGTCCTGCTATAGTATGGACATGATGTCTACCAACTTCGACATGTGGTATTTTTGAACCAGTGTTTTTTCCATTCCTGTCAGTTTTTTAGAATTTTACATGCAACGACCGGGTCGAAATTAACTTTTTTAGGCAGGTGCCAACTGGCAACTGGAATTTTTTTTCAGTCGCCATGTGGAAAAATGTGGTCACCAAAAAGTGTCAATAAAATTTTTCCTTCACAGCGAAACACAAACCAAAATTTTTGGTCGCCAGATGGAAAATTCTGGTTGCCAATTTTTCTTTTAAGAATCAGAACAAAGATAACGCATTTGGGGCGGCAATGATTGCGATTTTTCCGCTAACAATAAGATTAAATACAAATGCTGATTAATTATACACCTACCACTGAAAAACCACGACAAACGAATCAAATGCCGGCCATATATAGAGCAGAACGCTACGATAAGATAGAGACCTGGATGCTAAATATGATTTGCCCGATAGGGGCCTGGTACGAGTCATTTGTACCACATTGTCCTTGTCATGTGTTCTCGTCATTCTTAAGTGAGAATGCTTGATTATATTGAATATATATCTCTGTTAAAGTGCACCTAACCCCCAAATTTTTTTTTCACTAAAACAAATCTAGACTTTATTTGAANCCTAAAGACATGGCTAGGAAAAGCCAAGTTTTTTGCCTACGTTTTAACTCGAAAACAAAGCAAAAACCAGGGACAAAAAATACAGAACCACATTTTTCTATTACATTGAAGACCACATGCAAAACTTCAACTAATTTGGAGCAAGAAAAAAGAAAGGCAACCAAAATCGTCACTTATCCCCTTTTATGACTAGCTTCTTCATTTGGTGAAACATCTTCATTATATTGCTCTCTACAAGCACACTGGGTTGTTAGAACAGCATGCTTGTGAGTCACGTGATAGTCCTATGAGTTGGTGGCTGATTCCAGCTTATTTTTCAAATAAGTCGTCGCTGAGCTCATTCAAGTGGAGGTGAATTATTGTCTTTCTGGAATTGTTTCTCATTTGTGCATTTGTGGATCTCTGTAGATGTTTGACAATGGCATTATTCGTCATGAACTCAGTGGAGCTGGAGTAGCAGGAGACTGTACGACTCTGTCATTTCAAACGACTATGAATGGACTCGCATTATTTAATACAAAAACTCCATTCTCAGCCTATCAGAAATCATTATCTGAGTTCAATGGCTCACAGCCACTTTGATTCATAAATCATTTAGACAGTATAGAAATTATGTTTTGTGTTTGTGTTTTTTTCCCTTTAAACTTGACCTTTTATAATTCATTTTCTGAGTTCAGTGGCTCACAGCTACTTTGATAGAAGTATAGTAAATAGCAGAGAAGAGGATTCACTTCCCTCACTTGGTCAATTCTAGTCGACTTCTTTTCTGATCCGCTGACCAGTGCATATCACGGTATCATTTCAAAATTCGTTGATTTGCCACAAGACCTCTGTTGTTCATTTGATCGTGTTGTTTCTGGGCGCAAGGAAGTCTCCTTAGACAGGTGTTTTCACGATTCGATATTGAACTATTTAAAGGTCAGGTAACAGTAAAAACACTGCTTTTAAAGCACGAGAAGTTTGTATTTGTTTAACACCATGCTTGTTATTGTAAATGCCTTTTCTGCCATGTCAGAAGACTTAAAAATCAGACGTTTTCCAGGGAGCATACCTCGGGTCCCTCTGGTTAGTTCACACTAAAGAATTTTGTTTAAGCTCCCCAGCTCTAAACGTTGCTGCCTGGCCCTGTATCTTTGAGTACGGCTTATCCTCTAGTGTTTACAGTACTGCGATCAATTTTGTGATCATTAACAAGAGCATTAACTGTTATTCTGAAATGCTAAGTAAGCGAGATCATCTTTCAGTGAAGTTTAATGATAACTGGTAGGATGTTCTTTTTACATTGCTGGATTATTTCCATAGGGCGGAGACTTCACCAGAGGAAATGGGACTGGTGGCAAGTCCATTTATGGTGAAAAGTTTGCTGATGAGAACTTTATGCTAAAACACACTGGGCCAGGTAAGATTTCAATGGTTGTCAGTACTTACAAGTATGACTGGATGAACTGGTGTTGTCTCTAGTGTTTTAGCTTTGCAATAAGTGTTGTAATTAAGAAAGAGGAAGCATTTTGTGTGTTTCTATTGAGTTGTGGAGACATGGGAAATTAGTCATAAATAGGTATTGAACTAATAGAAAAACCTGATGGGATTAGTGTATTTATTATGCCCCTCCATGTTGTACAGAAAAGAGCATGGTGACCCTCTCTTTTTGTGAAATTCATAACACGATTACCAAGTTTTAGAAAATTTTAAGTACTCTTTCTTTTGCAATGGAAACATCGCAAGTAGAAAACTGTTGCATTTTGGTTGAATTTTTGTTTTGCTCAAGTGCGCAAAATTTTGCATGACACACTTGTAGGTATTTAACTTTTGAAGAGCCTGCCCTGTAAGAACCAAAGACAGAATTTCTTCAAATTTTCTGTGCAAAGCTACCATAAACGTCCATGTATAAGCCGCACTTTTTTACACAAAATTGAAGCCAAAAATCAAGGGTGCCGCTTATCCACGGATACATCTGTGTTTGGAGCTCTCAAAAACCTAATTAGTTGTCCTAAAACTTCTTAAAAATAGCTGACTGTTAAGATCGAGAAACGCCGGTCAACGACCCATTTGGCAAATCGCTCATATTTTGCCCAATGATACCCTTAGGTGACCTTATTCTAAAAATCATATTTAAAGGTTCCAGCGAATTTTTATTTTTCAGAAATTCACGAAAATTTGAAAGCGCGGTCAAAGTGCAGTTTTTCGTGTAATAAAATGACCGAAATAAGGTGCGAGGACGAAGTGCTGCTCAAGTCTTAAAATAACTTCAATTGACTTCAAACTTCACACAAATGTGGAACAACCACTCTAATTTATTCCTCGTTTTAAACTAATCTCAGAGATGTTGATATAGTGGTTTTCCCAACCATTTTAAAAACACCTATGAAGCGTGTCAAAAATAACGGCAAAATGTAGGTCATGTTTAACGGCATCAAAATGCATCTGGTACCTCACTTTCCGATTATTTTACTTTACAGCCTTAAAATATCATTATTAAACATGTACCATGCCAAGTTCGAGCTTCTTTTCATGATCATCTGGCGGTGCCGAAATGTCCCTCCAACGCAGGCCTACGAACATTTCATGCAAGTGCCACTTACCTGTGGAACTGTCTAGACGACAAATTTAAAACAATCGCACATGAAAGAAACTTTAAGAAACTTTTAGTGAACAACTTTTTACAAAGTAATTCAGACCGTCAACATTTTACCGTCTCTAGAACGTTTTGAAAATGTCTTGTAATATATTCGAATACATTTTGTGTGCATGCTGTATTATATTTTAACTTCTTCAATATTGTAACATTTTTAACTAAATATTTTTTTTATATAGATATAGCCCACAATGTAAACTACTGGGTTACCAGTAATTCTGTCAGCTGTTAAAGTGTTTTGTGTTTAAGTTTCATGCTCTAACTCGCAGTATTTCCCTTTGCAAAAAACGAAAATCTGTCAATTTGTTGGACGCAAATAACACAATAATTATAGACGAGCAAGAGACAAATTAATTTCAATGGCGAAAGTAAAAGGCTGTCATTAATTAAAACCCCGTCAGTTCACTGCTGTCAGTAGAAACATAATGTCCACTACATAAAAACTGTTTTAAGACGTTTTCGGAACATTGCGCGTTAACTTTGTTAATTTCCAGTCCGCCGTCATGTCTAGTTTGTCATCGCGTGTATTTCGGCCTTAACGTAAACAACACTGTGAATGGTTGTCATAACAAACGCAAGAGATTTCCTGGAACCTTAATGTTTACGATTCAGCAAAACGCTTTAAGTTCGTTAAGACACAATAATGGGTCAACTTGGAAAGCTGTTTAGCATTAAGGACATTGAAGGACTGTAAATTAATCGAGTTGAAATATCTTGAAGCAAATCAAAATTGTGCCCTTATTCTAATTTGGTAAACAGCCGATCTTCGTTCAAGTTCAGGAAGTCGAGAGGTTAATCTGGCAATGTACAAAGCTAAATAGTATCATTGTAACAGCATCAGTTCATTAGAATAATTCAGAGGCCTATAAGGGTAAAGTGTAGGGACAATCTCCATTCCTTCCACCAGTGGTTCACTTCACTCTTCTGTTAAGCTTTGGGAGTTGACTGACTTGACTCGTGGCTCCTGGCCACACCCATCTAGTAGTATGTCACCCCAGTGTGTGCCGAAACCTTGAGATTTTATCAAATACAATTAGCATTACAACCAGTCCGATTGCGTGTTGGACAATGCTAAATTACAATGTGGAACAGGCTTTTCCGGTTGAACTGTTTTCCCACCTGTCTATGGTCAATGCAATATGTGCGCCAACAGGTAATTGACTCAGCAGAGCTAAACTCAAAATTATTTAGCTTAGTGATCCCTAGACTTGATAAATGTGAAAGATGGCAACAACTTCTATATCAGTGTTTCGAAACCTTGATTGTTTGTCCCTGTTTGTTTATAGCAATACAACTCTACTGGAACTTCAAACTTTATTGTTTTTATTTTTTCCCAAAATTTGCGCTTCCAAATTGGGGGGTGCGGCTTATCTACGGATGCGGCTTATACACAGACATTTACGGTAGTAGTCCATATGACAAACAAAATAGCAATAATTTTGATTTTGATTTTGATGGTGCACTATGGCTGTGGTCAATGTTGCACACAGGCAGTAAGTAACTGTACATCATCTCCCATAAGTACTAATACAGGAAGGGCTCCCCAAAGCTCTTCTGTATTGGCTCCTCTGCCATTCTTCAATATTTCTGGCGACAATTTCCGAGAACGGTCCAAAACCCACAGAATCATTCTGTTTTGAGTCAAATTTTGGCATTACGCTGAAGGCGCGGAAAAATTATGCTTTTACTCGAATACAAAAAACCTTGGTACAGATCATTTTATTTCATGTTTTGTCTTTTAATTTTGAGCTAAAGGAGTTTGATCAACATAGCTAATATTCAGCCGTGAGAGTGTCCGTGGCACAATTTTGTACTGATTGTTGTTCCTAAGTTTCCCGCATAAAATAATATTGCCTTGAATAAGGCTGTGCTCTAGGGAAAATTCTAGGGTGCCCAGAAGTCAAGCTTGGTGACCCGAACAAAACAAGAAGATCTGCTAGATCTTATAACCATGCCTTTAAAATTTAACTGGTTTCTTAGCACTGCAGTTGCAACGCAGTGCACATTCCAAAGCAGTCGTATAGTCTTAATGTGGAACTTTCTTTGGGATGTGTATGGGCATGAAGATACGAACACTATTAATAACAGCTTTCTTTGTTAAAAGTCACGATTAAATTTAATTGTTTTTTCCTTGGAGTAAAGGGCTAGCAAAGACGTCACACGAGTGACATAATTCAAGAATTGCTTTATCCACAGCTATCTTTAGTACGGTGGTTATTTCCCTACCAATGACATAATCCTTGCATGTTCTGACATGTTCTTTGCTTGGCTTGCGAATATTTAATTTTCCTTCTGATCTATGAGCTCACTGCAATGAAACAGCCAAAGAATTTACTTCATTTGCCTAAAACCACAAGAAATACTCTCAAAATTGCAAATAAATTAATGACCGTCGCTTCTGGCGAAATAAACTTCCAAAGTAAACACAATCTTATTTTTCATGTAGCGAAAGTGAAAGCTGCAACGTCAGCGCATTCCATGGCTGACGTAATACCTTTTTTTAACGTATTTATTATTCCCTTGGAATCCAACGCTTCGAGAAGCCAAAGAAAATATATTTTACACACAACGAAAACAATATCTGTAACATTGTCCATGTATTAACTTTTGAACACCTTTTGGCGAATAAACATCACAGGTTGTGTGATTCAAAATTTGGTCGAGAGGGAGTTTGGGTCTGGTCACCGACAAAACTAAACAAGAAGATCTTTAAGATCTTACAACCGCGCTTTTAAAAGTTAACTGTTTTGGTAGCATGAGTGAC